TAATGTACACCACTATTAGCTTCATGTCCTTTAAAATATAAAAAGTATTCAGTGTAGATTTCAGCATTATATTACGATATGAATTTTAAAAGTACAAAATATGAAGACAGACAACGCTATAAACGATGTCTTTGTTGAATAATACACGGTTACTGAATATTACAAAATTTTATTAATTTGTACTGCTTTCTTGACTTCAATATGCGTGTCTCTATAAATAGACAGTACAGCAATACGCAGTACATTATCAAAAGTCATACAGTTACGGATCACTGTCATCTCACCTGTCTGCGTGGATTCCAGTCTCGGGCTACGCCAATATGGTACGTGAAAAAGCTTGCCATGAATTTACCCGTGAGACGGTGGTTCTTTCCTGGATATTTTTTTTGGGTGGAGGTGGTGATCCCCCATCAGTTTTACTGGCCATCATGTATGGCCTATATTGTGCTGAAAAATGGCGTTAAACCCCAAAACAAGACGCAGTTGTATTATTGATTTCATCACCTTTAGTCATAGCAATAATACACTTCAAAATGTTTAGTTCTACCGGCCATGAGTTACCGTTTCTATGGTAAACCTAATGAAATAGTTACATTATGTGTGTGGGTATAGAAGAAAGTATCATACCATATATAAAATTCCACGATGGGGTTATCTCTATGGCTATATATGACAATAGACATTCGACGCAAATTGCATTTGATTTAAATTTGAAAACTATTTTGCGTCAAACCTCAAACAGTAAAAACCGCATGCAGATCCGTCTGTAATAGTTGGTGATATGTAATGACATTTTTGCGCAGTGTCGTGAGAGTTTAATATAAAGGCATCAAGTCTTACAGACCTTAATCTCTTGTAGTCCTATGCATAAACATTGGTGTAGGTGATCGCGGGCAATACAAATATTTGTCAGGTTTGGACATGAGCGTATTCGAGATTGAATATGAAGTGAACTAGAAAAAATCCAATCAATAAATACCTGATTCAAGCAAAGAATGACTAGTACATTCAGTATCTTACACACCTGTGTATATATTGCTGGTCGTAAAGTCGAACTTTTATTGCTCAATGTTACAGGGGATCTGCTGACACATGAAGAACTCCCAAAATACTGCATACATATGAAACATTGAGAAATTAACGTATCATGACACTATAATTTACTGTTCAATATGGAACGGTTCTTTAAAATATGTAACAGGTGGCAGACCTAGGTACTGGATGTGGAATAATTCCGTTCGTAAATCAATTTATGTGCTCGTGCATACGATCACGTATTTTACAATGAATGGATATGGATATTGCTTTCCAAACGAGACCGCTCAGGTGGCCTAGTGGTTTGATCGTCCGCCTTGGATGCGGGAGGTCGAGGGTTCGAACCCCGGCTGAGTCATACCAAAGACATAAAATAGTACTAGCAGCTGCTCCGCTTGTCGCCCAGCATTAAGAGGTTAATATTAGGACTGGGCGGCTTGGTGTCAAGATAACATTACTGGGTGTGACAAGGTGCTTCCAGATTGATGCCCCAGTGCTATATATCACTATTAACTGTCTCACCGCAGACACCGTAGCGATATGACTGAATTTATTTTTTCAAAAGCTACGATAAAAATTTAGCACACACACACACACACACACACACACACACACACACACACACACACACACGGTGTGGGTTAGGGGAAGGGACAACTATCGCCACCCAGAGAATTTACACGTACACATTAAATATCCTGCTCAACCGCGTATGCGTATCTACACAGGAGTCTGCAGTTTTATCATAAAAGCACGACGAAATTTCGGACTACATGAAATCACCTTGACGGTATTATACACTAATATTATTATTGTATAATACCGTTAAGGTGATTTCATGTAGTCAGAAATTTCGTCGTGCTTTATTGATAAAACTGCAGACTCCTGTGTATCTATATATAATGGATACAAATAAATATGCATAATTATGAAACTATGGTGTGAATGGAAAGTGTATGTAAGTAGCGTAGACGTGTGTGTCGCAGACCACTCTGACTTTCCAATCTCGTATATGAGTATAACAATAAAACCAGATTTAAAACTCAATAGTAAAGCAAGACGTCGGATTTTCGTTGCCAGAGGAATAAAAATGCCGAATGTCGGTTTGGAATGTTCGTTAAAAAAAAAAAAAACTGAACCAGTCAAACAGTGACACGCTAATTTGAAATTTATACAAATAATAACCAATGAAACAAAGCTAGTTCGTGCTAAATTCAGCAGTTTTCAGAGAGATAATATACATATTTAAAAAGATTAACTTAAAAACAACAATGTGTATTTGTTTACAAGTTTGGACGGGAAAAAAAGCTTGTTCAAAGCTTGGTGTGATACAACATAACATGCAAGAAAAAAATTGATTTACTGATCTAAATCAGAAAAAAATACAATACAATGATATAAAAATATGTTAATTCAAATTTCAGGAGGATGACTTTGAAATAAATATCAGCAGCCATGACTGTAATGTAGTTAAATCAATGCTTTTTGAGGAAGGAATAAATTATGTATTTGATAAGAGCAAATCATTGTATTCGGCTAAAAGAACAACTTGAATATCTCTAAAGTTTTCACAGCCAATCAACGATGATTCAGCAAAAATAGTCATACAGATTAAACAGTCAGTCTTTGACTTTGCCCCCACTCAAGGACTCTGTATGCCAAGCAGTTGTTTCTGATTCTGTCATTGGAATATCACAATTTAACTGACATCTAAAATCATTGATACGTTCGTAAAAATTAAAGAATTCTCGAAAAAATGACATGTTTCTGGTAGTTTTGCTTGCTTTTTTAAGACACAAAACAGTTTACCAAGCATGAAGTATTCTTTTGATATTTTTAATTTTGTTTTAAATGACTTACGTTGCAGAGCAAGACCCAAAACACTCTTTATGTCATTGTAATACAACCCAAACATTATAGATGCTTAATCAAATATTACTCAACTGTAGGAATAAATCAAACTGAAGAAAACGAAAATAAAATACTGTGATCTAAAAGAATGTTTAACATAGCAGTCTACTAATCCATTATGCAAGTAAGAAAGGGATTTCACTACAGAAGAGTCTACGAAAGTCAGAAGTCGATCAGTAGCAGAGTGACAGTTGACACGCAGAAAATAAATCTAAAAAACAAATGGATACATTTATTGTTTGACAGTGATAGGCGTCTTCTCAAAATAAGCGCGGACTAAAGACCTAAAAAGGAAATATGTAGATAAAATGCACGATAGTTTCAGAGAAATTATCAGAGCGAAAACCTGAAACGATACAGTCTGATGAAGCAAATTGCTTTCACAACATAAAAGTTATGTACTGGCTGGAAAAAGAAACCACTCTCGGTCAAAAAGGAATCTGCAGTGGAAAGATTTAACAGATTTCTAAATACTCCAATGCGGAACTATTTTGCACAAGATGAAGCCAGTGTTTACATCTTTTACCAAATAAATTTAATAAAAGATGCAATTATACTCATCAATAGACATGCCACAGACTGAAACTAGAAATGAGGCAAATAGAGCAATAGCAAGGATCGGGCTATAATATTACTCGACACATGACATGTGCAAGGTCTAGACTTTTTATCGGCAATAAAAAAAATAATAACAGCTTGTAATATACAGAGACAGTGTGTTTAACAAATAATAACAGCTTTTAATATACAGCGACAGTATGTTTAATAAAGGCATCGTTTAAAACACTAAAACCACAAATTCCGTTGCTTATGAACCTTCGAAACTTGCTCTCTGTGCCTGTCTGTCTGTCTCTCTTTACACACACACACACACACACACACACACACACACATATATATATATATATATATATATATATATATATATATATATATATAGATAGAGAGAGAGAGAGAGAGAGAGAGATAGATAGATAGATAGACAGACAGACAGACAGACAGACAGACAGACAGACAGATAGATAGATAGATAGATAGATAGATAGATAGATAGATAGATAGATAGATAGATAGATAGATAGATAGATAGATACTTGTTTTCCTTGAGTTATGGTTAAAATAGTTTGGCATTTTTATACCATTACATTGTTTCAATTGTACCTCTCTCTCTCTCTCTCTCTCTCTCTCTCTCTCTCTCTCTCTCTCTCTCTCTCTCTCTCTCTCTCTCTCTCTCTCTCTCTCTCTCTCTCCAAATACAGATCACAGTGTTTCAAGAAATTACCAATATTTTTCCTTCTCTCACTATCAGTCTTTAAATTCATAGATGGAGATTGTACGTGCCTGCGTCTGTGTGTTAGCCCGCGCTTTCCCCTTTAGTTCAGACCTGCCAGTAAATTACATATGATATTGTAAACCTGGTTTCCACGACGGCAATAAATCCCATTGGCCATATAAATTATTCCTTAACATTAATATTGCAAGCACTTTGAATCTTACGTGAAGGACAATTCTATTGAAGTCAGTGGCAGGGGAACATAGACCAATGTGTTCTGTTCGCATTGACTGCTGACAATAGAACAGAATAAATATCTCAGTAGGGGAACGCAAATTGATCCAGGGGCATTAGTCGTCGAATAAAATAAATATACTACATTGACTTCAATGGAGTCGATTGGAATGAATACAATTGATATATGTTGTTCAGAAGACAGTTAATTTATCAGACTGATATGATATGTGAATGGAAAAGCAAAATTGGATTTTGTGTTATATGTATAAGTAATATGCATTTGTAACTGAAATGAATCGTGATGTGATGTGATTATGATTTTTAACGTAGCTTTAACAATGTTTGAGTCATATCGCTACGATGTCCGCAGTGTGGCTGTTTAAAGTGATGTCTAGCACTGGGGCATCATGCCGCAGACATGTAGCATGATGCCCCACCCAGTCACATTATCCCGACACCAGGCCGACCAGTCCTAACACTACCGACTTAATACTGAGCGTAAAGCGATGCAGTTGTTAGTATCATTTTTATTTTTCCTTTGGTATGAATCGACCGGGGATCGAACCCACGACCGTTCTCATCTGAGGGGACGCTCTAACCACTAAGCTACCGGATAGGTTAGTGTGAATGGTTACATACTCACATATCATGCACAAAATATTTAGGAATTGACTAAAATTTAATAATTACGTGTTCACAAATTATTAATTAAGTTATCTTTCTTTGTATCAGGATTATACAGTCGGATCTATGAGAGAGAGAGAGAGAGAGAGAGAGAGAGAGAGAGAGAGAGAGAGAGAGAGAGAGAGAGAGAGAGAGAGAGAGAGAGAGAGAGAGAGAGAGAGAGAGAGGGGGGGGGGGCGAAACACATGTATACATAACTGACAGAGAAACGTGTATGTAGGCCCAGGGCTGATGCAAGGATATTTTGCACCCCAAGCGAACCTTCCACCTTGCGCCCTGCTCCCAAATCAGGGCATCGCTTATTATAAACTGTTCATTAGTATTAATACTAGTTCTGTCTGATAATTTAGCAATTTCATTATTTAGTCTACAAATTTAATGATAATGAATGAATGACCTGACAACGTACTTCGTTTTAGGCGACCGCCCCCAACCCTTTTTATCCAAATCTTAGCGCCCTAGTTGGTCTATTGGGTTAAACCGGACCTGGGTAGGCCGAAAGACAAATACGAAGATAGTGGTTTCTGAGTTGCATATCAATATATGTCAGAAAGTGGCATATTTTTAATTTATATGCCATATGAACAAAAATCGATCGTCTGGCAGATCTGAAATTGCATTAAATTGCTCATAAAATAAATGACAGATTAATCATTCTAAGATGGTTTGATGTTTTACGATTCAGCAAAGACAAATAGATTATTTGGTGTTGTGAGTATCTGGTTAGTCTCTCTAAAATTTAAAATCGTATTTATGTAAATAACATCTTATTGAATTATTGTCCAACCGTAATTTTAGCCAGAGTATTTTAACACTGGGTCTAACAGCATAGTATAAATATTAACGAAAAATTACTTCTCTTGATTGGAATTTAATCAGAAATTATGAATGAGAGAGGGGAAGTATCTTAAGTGTGTATTGGCCTGCCATTATGCATGCGTATTTAACGCTACGTGTAACTGAAATTACAATATAATCTGTTCATGTGAAATAATTTTCCTGCATTGATCATTAAAATCTAAATTATAAATTTGCAGTTTTGGCTTAGAATCAAACTTTTACAATTACCCCAACCTCTAATATGATAGTAAGTACTGTATATCTAATTATTGAATTAAATTGTTACATTATTGTTTCAGACGGCAAAATAGCTCCAAGGAGATGATTCTTCTTATTATCTAATGCAATTCCGACTCTAAATAAAACTTGTCTAGACATAGGTGATGTGAAATACCTTGTCCAAAAATACGCCACGATGACCGATCCACACTGATCCAATAGTACGATTTTAACAACCATTCTTTCAGTCGCGAATCCCTGGAGACTGACCACTGAAGCAACCACGGCTCTTTAAACACTAGTTTTTTAATTGTTGTGATAGGTTAGCGGAACAAACGCTACGTGTTGTGGAAAATTAGGTTAACATTCACATCTATGTCTTTAATGCTAGAATATAATAATGATTTTTATTGTAAAATAATTGTAAAAATAAAATATTTTTCATTTCAATGAATTGTATTGATATTTGAAGAAAACTAACATTTAAAAAAACTCCTGACTTTATTCTTTTTTTTTTGTTGCAAAAATTAGTTCATATAAACGCTTTCTAAAGAGAGAACAATCGATTTATGAAACAGCGGTCAAAATCTAAATGTTCGCATAAATAGCACTTTCATGTTATTTATGACACATTTTCGTTTGTTTACCGCATCAAACAGAGCATGTCCATTTAGTTGAAAAAGAAAGACAGTTCGATTTCACATTTTCCGATCTATTATGAAATATGTTCATTGTGTCTATGCCAGTGCGCTTGTCTCTTGTGTCTGATTTCACAAAACTTCAGTACAACGGTATATGGAAGACAATTGGATACAACAATGACATACAAACAGAAATACTGAAAGACTAAATGAAGAAATAAATACGTTCTTATTATCTACAATGACTTCTTCTGAGATGAGATATAGGCAATATACCAAAAGACATGTACTACTGCTGGAACATCAATGGACAAACCATTTGAAGAAGCAGAACAACGAGTACCTGAAGAAGAAAACACCCAAAGCAAACAGCTGAAAGAAATACTACAAATCCAACATGGCCTCAAGAGACACAAAAAGGGAAAGAAAGCAAATAAAACCAAGAAAAGGAATTTTTTTTAAGAAAAGAAAAGAAACAAATGCAGTGTCACCGATTGAACCCTAAAAGAGACAAAATTACAAGCACATGAAGATACAATAAAACAAATGACACGTTTAATAGAAATTGAACGAATGAAACCTCGTCAGAAACAATCAACAGAAACTACATCTGAGACACCGACAAACAGAGGGAAGCACAGTCGGGAAAACAACACGAACAATAAAATAACTGAATAAAAGAAACCTCGCTACACAGAAACAACAGATATACCCCAACACCGCTGTAACTGGAGAAAGTTACAGAACATACCCATGCAAGAGCGCCAAATATACTGAAATGGGATGAAGTTCCCAGCCAGAAAAGAATCGTCAAAAGAGAATATGATAAGACTAAATTAACTATAACACACACACACACACACACACACACACACACACACACACACACACACACACACACTGTCATGTCTGTGATAATATACTTCTTTTCAGATCCTGGAACCAAAAACAGGTAAGTATTTCACACAGCATAAAACATAATAGAATTAGCAAAATAAAGAATACAAATTTGACAATTATGAACATTTGATCCGAAAAGCACCCAATCATAACCACCAGAAATATAAATTGAATGGCATGAAAACATGATCAACAGAAAATACTGGAGGTGAGTGTTTGACCCAGAATACAAAACAAATTGGATGTTTAGTAACAAGTAGAAATAGAAGTATTTCCTAGGAAATGCTTATTCAAAATTCAAACTAAAAATTTAAAAGCATAAATCCTTTTCACACTTTCGAACTTTATTGGTGGGGGGCTCATAACAGCAAGCAACTGGTCACAAAAAGGACAGAAATAGGATACACAGCAGCTTGAATTGAAAATCAAACCATTACGGAAGAAAGCCTGCTTACTCCAAACCAATAATGACAGAAAACATGCATGCAACGTTCAGGCTTATGTAAAAATGCTTGACAAATACAACCAAGACAAGCAATCCCTCCCTCAAAAAGAACCCGCCTCCATCCAATAAAAAAAGAACGTCTGAGATGAGATCCAAACCATATCACAAGTCCAAAATTATTGAGTGTTCTGAATACATTGCAATATTAAATGTGCTGAAGTACGAATATTCCTGAATTGGTTGATGTATCGTCCGTTATGTTCAATCAAGAGTTCACAAGTTGTCGAAATTTAAATTTACACCTGCTTGGGGTTATAGGCTATTTATTATTGGCAACAACATTTTCTGATGAAACAAAATGTCTTGAGATGAACATAAATTGTTCTATTTGTAAGGTTTAACAAATTGGCATGGACGTTTCTTTAGATTTTTAGCAAACGTTGTAAATTAATTACACGGAGAAATAAACGACAGCAAAATAATAATAGCGAGCTGGAACCAAATAGATCTATCAGTAATTTATTATGTATTTCTTGCTAAAATTATTGTTTATACATATTCATACATCTATCTACAAATTCAGCTGCAAAGATACAAATAGGACATAATTTATTTTAAGCTGTATGTGGTGGAAAAGCTGAGAAAACTAAACGTTTACCAAGTGCTCATTGACTTTTGGACTGCAGTACTATTTTGGAATTATTGTGAACTGATTTAAAAACACTTTATTATATAATTTTGATACAATAAGACTAACATCACCTTTGGGAGACCGAGCAGGTCCTCTTTTGATTGGTTGATGAAATTAGAGATTATGGTAATAACATAGGTCACCAGAACATAATCCCTAAGCGTTTATTTTAAAGATCTTCACGTAGCACAGTGGAAATGTGATGCAATCAGATTGACCCACAGCTGCTCGACGCGAGCAAGATGCTGAAAAAGCAATATTCTGAAGGTAAAAATCATGCCGAGTGACAAAACTTCCTTAGATTACCCCAATGACCCGTTTTAACATATGAACATGTCTATTATACTAAAATAATATTATTATGGAGGTAATGAACGGGTCATGGGGGTAATCTGAGGTAGTTTTGTTACTCGGTATGATATTCTTTCCTTCAGAAAAATGTTTCATTTTTAAAATCAAGCTCGCGTCGGGCACCTGTAGATTGATCCGGAGACATAACTTGACAGATTTTGTTCAGATGATCACCAGTTCAAAGAAAACATACTGGAGAGGTGCTGGTAAGTCTTGGTGTATATAATGTATATAATGTCACTGTCACATTGAATTCGGCAAGGAGGGAGGGCAACCACACCTCACCCAACCCCCATAGACGTCTTGCTGTTACCTTTATGGTGAGTGATGTTGCTCCGAGTTCAGCTTAGAGAAATGGATGTAAAATTTAGGATAACGAATAGCAGCGCGTAATAGAGAGCTTGCTTACGTTAGTTACAGAGATCATGCAATTGGAAAGTATAATTTCATTGGCTCTCTCAAATAGTTTTTTTTTTTAATGGCCCAAATAGCTTGCCATACACGGCGTTAAACACTCGCATAAAAATGACATATATCAAATACAGTAAGCAGGAGACATATTCAAATTACTTCCCTCGCCAGAAATGGACAATCTTTGTATTTCTACAAATAAGTCATTTTAAGTAACGTAAAATATTTTGAGAAGGGGTAGGGTCCTTCGATGACGACACAGGCAACCCATGCTTGGTCTAGCGGATACCAACACGTGCGTTTCGGTGTAAAGTAATCATAACGTGAGCATAGATCCTGCTTGATGTTATTTTATGCAACACCTGGATTAATAATTAAGTATTTACTAGCTCTGTATGATCTATGAAAGATTTTTAAAGCAATAATTAAAAGAC